CTTTTCAATGATTTTCACGTCTGATTCATCAGGTGCACCTTCAACTGGAGAGCCTCCATCTCGTCAACCCACTCTAGCAGGCTCAGCCTTGGTTTCCCGCTCTGCTGGAGCCGTCGTGCGTGGACCCTCTCCTCTTTCCCTGGACCCACCTTCTCCTACAAAACTCGGAAGGGAGCCCCCACCCGATGGTGCTTCAGGAACGTCTTCCTCTTGTAGCTTGGGGGATTTCTGGGGATCCTGGAATCTGCTGCGCTTTTCACCTACAAGCTGGCTCCTTGCTCCGAGAGGCTTCGGAGAGAAGAACTCTTTTTCTCTTTCTTGCCGGACGAAGACTATGTCTTCTGCTGTCTTTTATCTCTTTCTGAAATTTTTTTTTTTATATATATGGTTCAGAACGGATTAACCTCATTTACATTGAACCCTATGAGCAAATTTGATACTGTTCGCGACCAAAATCGGTTCGCGACCACATTCGTAGGGGTCAGAACGGATTAATCTTATTTACATTGAACCTTAGGGGAAATTTGATTCGGTTGGCGACTAATTCAGTTCGCGACCAGAATCGCGGAACCAATTAAGTGAACCGAGATACCACTGTATAAGAAATATCCTACTAACTGACAACTTTATGTAAAAAAAAAAATCTTAATTTTTTTTGATAACTTGTGCCAAAAAAATGACATCTTTAAAACACCCACCATGCATCTTATGAATTACCTTTGGGTGTCTGCTTTCCAAAATGGGGTCATTTTGTGGGTGTTTCTACTGTCCTGGTATTTTAGGGTGTCTAGGCAGTGAAGGCACCAGGGTTGATACATTTCCAATATATGTATACCATTGTTTGGTAGACTGTATAACTGTAAGACATTCTAATTAATTTACACTTATTTGGATTTTTTTTAACCAAAGAAATGTAGCAGAACACATTTTGGCCTAGATGTATGAAGACAGATTATTTATTTGCAATGTTTCATTAACATAATATAAGGAAAACAGGTTTTTTTTTACATTTTCTGTATTTTTTTTCTTCATATAGTAAAAATAAAAACCCCAGTGGTGATTAAATACCACCAAAAGAAAGCTCTATCTGTCCCAAAATAATTGGTAAAAAAGTCATTTCAGTACAGTGTTGCATGACGGAATAAATGTCAGTCAAAGTACTGCAGCGCTCAATACTGAAAAATGGCCTGGCCAGGAAGGGGGTGTAAACACCTGGTCTTCAAGTGCATCACTTAAAGGGTAAGAATAAAAATGAAAAATTCCTTTAAAATATCATGCCTGGGGGGGTCCCTTTAAACTGCCTGTGAAGTGGCAGATCTGTACGATGTATAGAACCTGCTTCAGCAAAAAGTGACATTTCAATTGCTGGTAATTGGTTTTCTTTTAATCTTTAAAAACAACTGCTTGGGGAGGCAGGCTGTATGAATAGGCCACATTTTAGGATACTTGTAACAAGGTTAGAGATTTTTTGGGATAAATCCTGGTGCCTCTTTTGCAGGCGTTGGATGAAAGTAACAACAGGTGCTTTAAAATTGGGCCTTTAATGTTGGTGCTGCCTTCACACCATGTCCCAGTACATAGATCCAGCAAAACAATCAGTACATTGATCCAGCACCGGGTTGTGCCTCCTGTCCGAGCTGCTCGGTTTCCTGTCAATCCACCCTGAACCTAGGTGTTAAAAGGCTTGTGCACCGATGCTTTAGCGTTGGAGCTACGTGTCTCCATGCTAGTAGCCAGACCTCTCTGTTTCCTGTGGCATTGCTGTTTGAGTATACCTTGTATTTTGTGTCTTTGCTTGCTCTTATTGTTTTCAGTGTTCCAGTCCTACTGTGCTCTTGAATCCCCTCTGTTTTCTGTCCGTGTACCTCTTTGGTTTGCTGTAGCTATGAGTTCTCTCCACAGCATTGTTTTGTAGTTGTCTCCTGCTTCCTGTGATTATTCTGCTCTGCACTATTGTGCACCTCCCTTCTTTCTCCTGTGCATTCCCCTCTGCTGTTCCTGTGTATCTCTTTTCTTTGTGGGTACACCTGTTGTGTGTTCCTTGCTGTCTGTGTCAAGCATTGTTCACCTGCGTCTTTCCACTAGTGCCTGTTTTCTGTACCTTGTATCCTGTATGCATCCTGTGTCTTGTCCTGTGTGCTGTGGTCCCTGAGTACCCGTTGGCACTGTGCCTGCACAAATGTGTCAGAGAGCCGCAACCTGGGAGCTACCCCGCAGCTCAACATCCACACTGATTCTGGCCAGAACGCACTGCCTCACATTGCGACCAGGGGAGGGGGCGTGGCAGGCCATTGAAGTGAATGGCACAGTAGCCACGCCCTCTGGCCGCAATGCGATCGCCCGCACGGGATCGCAAGGCAGATTGTGCTTGCAGTGCGGTGCAATCAAAATGCTGCAAGCACTATTTTGACCGGACCGCACTGCAGGCACAATGTGCTTTGTGATCCAGTGCAGCCCATCGCATTGCATTCACTTCAATGGCCCACCACGCCCCCTCCTGCCCCACAAAAAAGTGAGCCAGCCGCAAAGCGATGCAGTGCATTCCCGCCAGAATCGGACCGGAATGCACTGCATGTGGTGTGAACGAACCCTCAGTTATTCTCGGTGAGTGCAGGATTTGACCCTGCTGCAAAAAAAAACAAATAATATATGCACATGTCACATGCGGGTGTGGAACAATTTGGGCCTTGGTCATTGGTGGTGCACTACACCGAGAACATTACTTGAAGATGGAATAATCGCCCACAAAGTTAGGCAACCTAGGCAGTCTTCAAGAGATCCCCAACAAATTTATTCGGTGACATCTGCATCAGGGGATTGATAGCTGCTGCGAATCCAGGACTGATTCATTTTGATAAATGTCAGCCGGTCAACGGAGTCTGCGGACAGACACACTCTTTTATCTGTCACAAAACCTCCAGCAGCACTGAACATCCTTTCGGAAAGCACAGTGGATGCAGAGCAGCCCAGTAGCTCCATGGCATATTGGCTAAGTTCTGGCCAGTGATCCATTCCCAAGACCCAGTAAGCCAGCAGATCATCTGCTGGAAAGCTCTCCAGGTCTCCTCTTGCCCCTGGATAATCCTGCACCATATGATGCAGACGCTGCTGATAGGTTCCTAAAGTTAACATCCCTGGGCGCTGAGGACTAATGTCTAAACGCATCAGTCAGGCGGCCCCCCTCTCCGCCGCTCTTCCTTTGACCAACCAAAGCCTCAGAAGCACCTCTTTCATGACTTGGTAACCTACCTGTGTCTGGAAAGGTTTTACACAAGTTTCTCTTCAAAGCGTCCTCAAGTTGTTTCATCCTGTGCTCCCTCTGAGGGCAGGATGAGCTCTGCAACTTTATGCTTGTAACATGGATCAAGATTGGTTGCCAACCAGTTATGATCCCTCTCCTTGATACCACGAATCCTTGGGTCCTTTCTCAGGCTTTGCAGGATAAAGGAGCCCATGCACTGTAGGTTTGAGGAGGCATGAGATTCTGAGTCTTTGGGATCACTGAGGATGACAATATCATGCACTACCTCCTCCCAGCCACGTACAACTCCTTGGGTTTCTGGGGACAGAAAACCCTCCCTTGAAGACTTCCTGATGTCATACGCTGCTTCAATGCCCCAACGGCTGCCATGATCCTCCTCAGCTTCAACTCTTCTGGGAAGGCTGTCCACAAGGTTTAGGAGTGTGTCTATGGGAATTTTTAACCATTCTTCTAGAAGCGCATTTGTGAGGTCAGGTACTGATGTTGGATGAGAAGGCCTGGCTCGCAGTCTACGCTCGAATTCATCCCAAAGGTGTTCTATCGGGTTCAAGTGCAGGTCAGTCAAGTTCCTCCACCCCAAACTCGCTCATCCATGTCTTTATGGACATTGCTTTGTGCACTGGTGCGCAGTCATGTTGGAACAGGAAGGGGCCATCCCCAAACTGTTCCCACAAAGTTGGGAGCATGAAATTGTCCAAAATGTCTTGGTATGCTGATACCTTAAGAGTTCCCTTCACTGGAACTAAGGTGGCAAGCCCAACCCCTGAAAAACAACCCCACACCATAATCCCCCTCTCCACCAAACTTTACACTTGCAGTCACAATGCAGTCAGGCAAGTACCGTTCTCATGGCAACTGCCAAACCCAGACACGTCCACCAGATTGCCAGACAGAAAAGCGTGATTTGTCACTCCAGAGAACATGTCTCCACTTCTCTAGAGTCCAGTATCGGCGTGCTTTACACCACTGCATCCGACGCTTTGCATTGCACTTGGTGATGTAAGGTTTGGATGCAGCAGCTCGGCCATGGAAACCCATTCCATGAAGCTCTCTATGCACTGTTGTTGTGCCAATCTGAAGGCCACACGAAGTTTGGAGGTCTGTAGCTATTGACTCTGCAGACAGTTGGTGACTTTGGCGCACTTCAGCATGCACTGACCCCGCTCTGTCATTTTACGTGGCCTACCAATTTGTGGCTGAGTTGCTGTTGTTCCCAGTTTCTTCCACTTTCTTTTAAAATACCTCTAACAGTTGACTGTGGAATATTTCTTGGCAAGGAAATTTCACAGATGGACTTATTGCATAGGTGGCTACCTATCACGTTACCATGCTGGAATTCACTGAGTTCCCGAGAGCGACCCATTCTTTCACAAATGTTTGTAGAAGCAGTCTGCATGCCTAGTTGCTTGATTTTATACAGCTGTGGCCATGGAGGTGATTGGAACACCTGAATCCAATGATTTGGAGGGGTGTCCCAATACTTTTGGCAATATACTTTTGGCAATATAGTGTATATGCAGAGCTGTCAAGGCCCCTGGAAAACACTGTTGTCCCCCATATCTTGGGATTCTCTCCTGGTCTTCTACAGCTGTACAAAGTCTTCCAAGATGCTCTGCAGTGTGTTTTATGCACAACAGTTTAAAGCACTGAAAGATTAAACTTGGAGCTATGTGCAGGAAGAAAGTTCTGGTTGAAGAACAACAAGGATCGCTGCAGTCCATCCAGTAAACTGTGCACCAAGCTGCTCACTTATAGGTATGTCCAATTTAGAATGTATGGTGGACATAGCCCAGCAAAAAAGGTCAACTAAGGAAGGCTGAAGAAAGTGCAAAGGAAGATCATTACTGGTTGTTTAAACAAGAAGCAAAGTTCAACATAAAACAGAAGTCATCAACTTGCGCAACTAGATCGATTATATATGAATATAGGAATAGTGTCAAAGGAGCTCCAGTTAAACTGGCGATTAATCCAGAGAAGATCTTTTCTGGATTAATCACCAGTTTAACTGGAGCTCCTTTGACACTATTAATATACAGTCCATAAACAATCGATCCAGTTGCGCAAGTTGATTACTTCTGTTTTATGTTGAACTTAGCACTTTCTCTGGGAACTGTTACATGGACTTTGCTGCACAGATCTATTTGGCATAATTTCATCATGTGTGTGTGTGTGTGTTTTTTTATACGTTTATTTTTTTAAATTTTTTTGGCCACTGGTAGTGGGTAACAGACAAAAAAAATCACAGTATCTTGTTCTTATATACCTTCATTGTGTTTTACCTCATTATTACCCATATATTGTATTGGAGAATAATATGTGGTCTGATATAGAGATCAATAGGACAAAAAAACTACAGGACATATTAAAAATACCAATGGAAGCTCCAAACAATAATAAGCACAATATACTACACACCAAACAATTTGAAACTGAAATGAGAAAACAATTTTTTAAATCTCCAAGATAAACAAAATAAGGAATGCACAGAGTGGTGGGACATTAACTTCCTTAAAAAATCCCTTGATTTAAGAATAACACCCCGAGGAATTTGCATTTTTTTAAAAAATGTGACTTCTTAGACGAAGATCTCATTACACAATGGCAGGAACTAGCCAAAATTTGCTCAACTAAATGGATTTCACTTATCTTGATACAAAGGGAAAGGAGATTAGAAACTTGCAAAAAGGCAGTCTCAGAATGCCAGAAAAAAATGTGAATAATATCAGACCTCTACCCTCTGATAAATGGTGCCAGGTCCTAAAAAACAATGTGTCCAAATTTGAGGAGAATCTGTTACAAAATAAAAAGAAAAAACAGGGACCCAACTAACAAAATAGTGATTGCAGCATTCTGTTCGGACTGGACCGCAGGCATTATGTGCCTTGCGATCCCGTGCGGCCGATCACATCGCGGTCGGAGGGTGTGGCTATGGTGCCATTCACTTCAATGGACTGCCACTCCCCCTCCTGCCCCACAAAAAAGTGAGCCAGCCGCAATGCGAGGTAGTGCGTTCTGGCCAGAATCGGGCTGGAGCGCATTGCATCTGGTGTGAACGAGGCCTAAGTCCTTGTTTTATCCTTACCAGACCAAAGGTTCTTTTATAAACACCTTTTACCATATAGTACTAGCATAAAGATATGTGAAAATCATAGGCGGCAAAACACAGTAACTGCTCCTGAAAATGGTCTTCCAAAAGTATCTACAGGGGGCAGCTCCTCACATTCAAGGGAAACCGGAAAACTGATGAGGACAAAGCAAAATGAGCGCCCCCATAGTGTAAAATTGATTTATTATGGATAAAACACACAGCTGAAAAGGTACTTACAAACCAGCTTGTAAAAAGGAGCAGAAAGCGATATAATCTTAGGAGATCATCAATATGTATACACGAAAATAGGGTGAGGGAAAGGCAGTGCTAGTGTAACGTCTCTGCAGCGCAAGCCTTGGATCACAACTGCGGAGAGGGTACTTGCGGTTTGATCAGTTATCTCCACCAGAGTCTTAAGCTGGCCACAGACCTTACAAGACTTTTGTCTTGCGATGGTTGTAAGGTAATAAAAAAAACATACGATCTGCCCTTCTTGGACAGGCAGATCGTACTAGCGATAATCGCAAGCCTGCCCAGCTGAGGGGCGGGCTACCAATGACCGCCCCGCTGAGGGGCGGGCTACCAATGACCGCAATGCTGAACGGGCAGTGTGCGCTTGCGCACACCGGCCCGTGCTGCATATATCTTACGAACATGCCACACACCCGCCGCCAATCGTACGATTCTTGGTGGGTTTTCGAACATGTTCCTAAGATAAAAGTAATGCGACCGTACAGAGAAAGTGACAGCTCTTCTCTCCTCCAACCGCCGACCGGCGAGATGAGAAACGCCAGCGTCGGGCTGCCCGAGGGCACATATACAGAAGCCCTCATTTGGCCGGGCAACACCAGCGGTTCCTAAAGCCGGCCAACGGGAGAAGGAGAGGAGAGTGGAATGCATCGAAACAGTTGTTACATAAAAAAGTGAATTGTGACAGATCAAATACATACAAATACATATTAAGTTGACAATACTATAGCGCGAACCAGGGGCTGACTGGCAACTTTTAGCCCAGGGGGCAAGTAAAACCCAGAGGCCCATGGTGCAGCAACTTGGCCCTCCTCACGCTCTGCCTCCTCCCCGCATTCTCCCCGCCCGTCTGCCACTTTTGCCATCCATGTAACGGTAGTGTGAATGGTCGGGAGATGTGAGGACTCCTAGTAAGTCCATGAAAGGGGTGACTGGCTATGGGATGGTGCTCTCCTCCCACTGGGCTCCCTACTGGGAGTAAGGTTCTGGCCTTACTCTGCTCCATGTCCACTACTTAGGCACTCTCGCCCACTGCCGCTGGCTGTCCATGCTTCTGGGCTGTGAGCTGTGGGAGGTTAGTGGGAGGGGCTGGACAGTGTCAAAGTCAGTGTTCTATAATTTTTCTCGATCCTATACATTTTCACGACAGTGTCACTTCCAGTGGGGCCGAGTCATCCAAATCAGCTGTTTTCATGACCCCCTTTCTTCATGACATGTGCACCTGGAAGAGACGCAGTAGAGTATGGGTTGAGGAAAATTATAGCACACTGGTAGTTCTGCCACTAACTCCAAGCTGTAGAGGGACTACAAATCTCAGCACATTATACAGCAATGCAGAATAACACCACAAGCTATAGAGGACTATAAATCTCAGATATAAATTGTACAGCATTGCAGAGTGGCATTGGCTATAGAGAACTACAATTCCAAGCAATACATTACACAACAATGCAGAATACCATCAGCTATAGAGGACTATAAATCCCAGCAATAATGACTACCAACTACAACTACAGAGAACTACAATTCCCAGCAATACCATTATACAGCAATGCAGAACTGCATCAGCTATAGAGAACTACAAATCCCAGCAATACATATTACAGTGATTCAGAATAATATGAAGCTACATACTCTGTTGCTTTGGGTTCTCCGCCTGATGTCTCCAGGGTCTCAGGAGGGTTGTGCGGGCTCTCATCAGGGGTCCAGAGAGTTTCACCGGTGCGTGTGGGTGCAGCAGAGGCTCTCAGATGGCCAATGCGGACTGTCAGGTGGTCAGTGCGGGCTCTCTGCTGGTCAGTGCGGTATCTGTAGCGGCTCCCTAATAATCAGTGGTGGCTCTGTGGTAGCTCCCAGGTGGGTAGTGGGGGCTCCACTGTGGCCAGTTGGGGCTCCCTGGTGGTTAGTGGGGGTTCCCTGGTGTAGGGTGACCATTTATCTAGAGCTGCAGCTAATGATTATTTTCAAAATCGATTAGTTAGCCGATTATTAAGTTCCATTTACCCGTTTATCGGGATTTTGAAAAATGGCTCCAGTGATGGACTACTAGTTTGTATTGAGATTGTAGTCCATCACAGGAGCAAGCTTGGAGCGGTGGAAGAAAAAAAAAAGTGTGGTGTGCAATATAGTGAAATGGAAAGTGTAAAGTTATACAGCAATCAATGCAGAATGGCACCGGCTGTAGAGGACTACAAATCCCAGTAATACATTATACAGCGTAATGCAGAATACCTCCAGCAATAGTACATTATAGCTGGTGGTATTCTGCGTTGCACTGTATAATGTACTATTGCTGAGATTTGTTGTAGTCCTCCATAGCTGGTGGTATTCTGCATTGCGCTGTATAATATATTATTGCTGGGATTTGTAGTCCTCTATACAGCGCAATGCAGAATACCACCAGCTATAGAGGAGTACAACAAATCCCTAGCAATAGTACATTATACATACAGTGTATAATGTATTGTTGGGATTTGTATTCCCATGTACTGTATAATATACTGTACAGCACAATGTACCATCAGCTATAGAGGAATACAAATCCCAGCAATACATTATAGAGCACCATGTGTGGGGGAGGGAAGTGCAGGCTTACCTGAGCAGTCTTCCAGCAACTTGCTTCTGAGATCGGGCCTGTCTGTCGCCGGCTGCCATCCCCCCACGCCTGCTCCTCCTTACTTCTCCCCACATCCCTGTGCCGATCATGGATGTAGGCGGGCGGTGAGTGTGAGGCAGGGAGCAGGTCTGGCGTGTGGATGCAGACGGGCGGGTCTAGCAGTGGCAAGCATGAGGCAGGGAGGAGGTGTGGCATGTGGAGCGTGGATGCAGGCGGGGTCTAGCAGCGGCAAGCGTGAGGCGGGGAGGAGGTGCGGCATGTGGAGCGTGGATGCCGGCGGTTGGGTCTAAAAGCGGCAAGCGTGAGGCGGGGAGGAGGTGCGGCGTGTGGAGGGTGGATGCAGGTGGGTCTAACAGAGGCAAGCGTGAAGCGGGGAGGAGGTGCGGCATGTAGAGGCTGGATGCAGGCAGGTGGGTCTAGCCTCTAGCCAATGAAAAAAAGCACATC